TTTTCCATTAGTTTATTTTTGCTTATTATTGTGATGTATACACACTGATCTGCATGTAAAGATTGAACTTTCACAAAATATCAGTAGTATACGGTAAAACAGATAAATTATACAGGGTGAGTTTTAATTGTCCCCCCCCAACTTTTTTCTACATTTTTTCAAATATCAATCCCAGACCACTTCCAAACATTTTTGGGTAGTAAGTACTTCATTTTGACAAGGTGGTAATTTCCGGCCGCCATCTTGGATCCGCCATATTGGATGAAAAATATTTTTTTCAAATGTAAAGGTGGGGTTGTGACCCATTATTACGAACTAGACTTTTACCCTGATTACAATGCCGCAAACCGTTTTTAAAAATCTTGATTCATTCTCAAGTTATGAGGTCTTTTTAAAACTTTATTTTTAGCCCATTTTTACATTGTGCTTGTACAAACTAAGACCATAATCTCAAAATAGTGCTAGATAAAGATAAATATACACTACCAGTCATTGCCAACCTATTTCCACTTGGTTATGAATGATGTATTTCGGATTAACTTTTTAAGCTGAACTCAATTCCATGGTCTATTTTTCATTTTCATATTTTGATTTCGAAATATTAACATTTTTAACAAAAATATTGTAATGTTTCATAAATAAAACTTGATAACAAAAAATGGATTGCGGCATTGAGTTCAGCTTAAAAAAGTAATCCGAAATGATGGGTCACAACACCCCTTTTATATTTAAAATAATTTATCACATTTCAAAATGGCGGATCCAAGATGGCGGCCGAAAAAAATACATCATTCATAACCAAGTGGAAATAGGTTGGCAATGACTGGTAGTGTATACTTATCTTTATCTAGCACTATTTTGAGATTATGGTCTTAGTTTAAAAAGCACAATGTTAAAATGGGCTAAAAATAAAGTTTTAAAAAGGCCTTATAACTTTAAGTGGGTCACAACCCCACCTTTACATTTGAAAAAAATATTTTGCATCCAATATGGCGGATCCAAGATGGCGGCCGGAAATGACCACCTTGTCAAAATGAAGTACTTACTACCCAAAAATGTTTGGAAGTGGTCTGGGATTGATATTTGAAAAAATGTAGAAAAAAGTTGGGGGGGGGGACAATTAAAACTCACCCTGTATGTAAAATCAATACAAACGGTTCTTTGCTTTACTACAGTGACTATGTTAATGCGATTATTTTTCCTTCTTTACATGTACGTTTTTAAACGAAATAAATGTTTAAGTAAGCTTATTATTTGAAAATTTAATCGTGAGGGGACATTATTTCCATACATGCATCAGCGCATCATATCATTAGTACTAAATACATCGAATTATGTAACACAACCTAGATAGCCTTATAAGTTAGCCTAGCCTTAGGCCGGGCGCGCACTATCCCGACCACGACCACGACCACGACCAAACGCCCGACCAGTGGTTGTCATTCACCATGCGACCAGAGCACGACCCGACCACGACCCGACCAAGGCAACGAATGATTTACAAACTTCAGTGTCAAGATGATTGTTGAAGAAGTAGTTGTTATGGTGCATTTGTATTGTAAGTACGTTAAGCGGAAGAAGAAACTATACTGGGTATATCCAATGTTAACTGTCAGGTCTGAAAGGGCATTTTACAACATTTTATGAAGATCTACGTCAATATGAAGACAGGTTTCAAAAGTGTCAAAATCCTGCAACATTTTACCTAATGGGTCACTTCGCAGACCGGCGCAAAAAACTAGTGCTCACCGTTTGATTGGTCAAGGAATACTGGGGGTTGAGTGGTGTACTGGTCGGGTCGGAGGCAAGTCGGGGGTAGTGCGCGTCGTCCCATTACATTGTGTGCTATTTTTGGCTGCAACGACCAGCGGGTCGGGCCCGACCAAACTGAAAAATTTTGGTCGTGCGACCAGGGCCCGACCAGGGTCCGACCAGTCGACCAGTGCGCGCTGTTCCATTTATTCCTATTATAAAACTGGTCGTGTCCGACCAGTCGGAGTCGTGGTCGTGGTCGTGGTCGGGATAGTGCGCGCCGGCCCTTAAAGAAAGATATTTTTCAAACTAAGAGTTTCAATTGAGCTATGTTCCTTTAACCAAAAGGGAATGTGTAACTAATTTATACAACAGGCTTAAAGATCGTAGTTTTCGCTTCAGTGTCATCTCCGTTGCGAAGCACGGATACAGCTAGTTTTCCTATAAAGCCCACAACAAATTTTGAAAAATGGATTTTTGAACAAAAAAAGCTTTTCTGATTGAAATTTGTCTGTTATGGTCCTTATAATCCTTAAAAAATAATGCAACCCCCCCCCCCATTCCTGTAAAAATTACAGTACAAAAGTTAATGAAACGTTTGTGATTTTACCTGTTAAATATCATAGTTACTCTCATTGCTTACCATGATAAAGGTTTTTGACAAGCTAATTGGAGAAAGTATCTGTCGGATTGCTGATACCATTTATTTTTAGTAACACAGGACACCAAACCATGCCAAACTCCCGTTCTTTAATTTGCTTATTGGTTTTCCGGCACCTTGACTTACACTTTAGTTACCTTTCAGTTGGAACGTTATTTTTTTGTCATGTTAGGTATTAATACATATTGAAGAGGAGGCGCATAGTTATAAAAACAATGTTGCTATAGAGAAAGTGAATCATACCACCACAGATAATGGGTGCAGTTTCTTATTCAGGCTACTTATCGATTAAAAAAATATCATTATTATCGAATGGAAATAACATTGTCTTAACAATTGATAAATCGTATCTCCGGTTCATGTAGAAAGCGGTTTGCAGTTAATTTTTCCTTATTATACTTTGACGTATTTTAAAACTATTTTGAACAAATACTGTACAACTATTTAGTTGTAATGAAATACATACCTAAAGAGTAAAGAAAAAAAATCTACCCTAAAATAAGAGAAAATAACATGTAGGTAGTGGACGCTAGCGCTTGATGTCACAAATGTGAAGCATAATGAAGCTTGTTGTAATACGAGCTTCATTATTTTGAAATAGGATCAGAAAATAAATCCAACTTTACCATTTAAAGTCAATGATCATATAACATATTAAATAGTGTATTATCCTCCATTAACCAATCAATCAAGAAATTTATTTACACAATAAATTTACCAATACATAGGTTACAAAAGTGCAAAAACCACAAATGGTTTGTCTGCACTAAAAATATTGTTTCTTATTTACCATACAGTTTTTTTGTCAGTTTGAATCAATAGCATGCAGTTTTATGAGTCCTTGATTGATTGTCTCTTGAGTGAATAATAACAAAAAAAAAAAGACAACAAAGACACAAATATCTGTAAAAATTCAACAGTAACAATAATAAATAAACTATTAGAATAAATAACAATAATATAGTACTTAAACTTCAACTAAAAATGTAAATAAATTAAATGCATATTATTGTAATAAATTAAATTTGTAACAAATCATTCTAAACAAGTTCCTTTAAATAATTTTTAAACATGCTATAACCATTATAGCTGTGAGGTTATTAAAACATTTGGGAACAAAAACTTCAAGTGTTCTACTTCCATACTTATTCCTGTGCTTTGTACAAAATAATAATTCCTTCTAACATCATATGGGTGATTATTGACAATTTTCAAGCTGTCATCAAATAAATGATCAGTGGATATAAAAAAAAAAAACATACAACTTACTAACAGGTAGCAGTCTAACAAAATGAAAAATCTTTATTATTGGTAACTGCTTAATGTGCACTAGAACAATACATTTGAGTGCTTGCTCCTGCAGATGCTCAATTTTCCTCAGACAAGTCTGAAGCATTGCCCCATGCTCTCCACCATATCTTAAAATTGATTCCCACAGTGACTGGTAAATCACCAATAGAACATTAAATGGCAGGACACTTTTTAAATAAAAAATTTTGCAAACACATGCCCTGTTTTTTTACAAACATAATTAACATGTATATCCCATTTAAAATTGTGGTCAACATGAACCCCTAAATATTTAAAACCGTGCACATTCTCTAAACTCTTACATTGACAACTTTTTGGGATAATTAAATAAGTATGATTATGTAAACAATCAAAATTATGGTAAGTAATGCTTACATTAGAACATTTATATGCAGTAGTAATGCAGGTGAATGCACATGCATGACCTTGGACTTTTTGTAATTTATTATCAATCCATAGTCATGACACCATTCTAAAAGGTTGTTAACAGCATTCTGCATATTTTTTTCTGCCTCTATTATATTTTTGTTTGATACGACAATTGCAGTGTCACCAGCGTACATAAAAACCGTGGCTTCTTTTGGTATATATTTTGGAGGGGGTGTATGTGCATATATTATATATAAGATTGGGTCCAAAATAGGTACTTCCTTGAGTTACCCCAGAAAAAAGTTCTGCCTCTTCACTAAATGTACTATGCACTTTTTACAATAATTTTTCTGTTTTTCAGATAGTCTCTAAACCATTCTAAAAACCTGCCAGAAATTCCTATGTCCTTGAGTGCTGTCATTTTTTTTATCGAACTGCAGTGTATCAAAAGCTGTTAAGTCTATAAAAGTTACTATTACCGGTACTTGATTGCTCTACCCTAATTCTTTGTTAATATTGTTAGAAAAATCTTTTAGCAATAGCTCTGTACTTTTGTTTTTCTGGAAACCATACTGACTTTTATTTATAACATCATTTTCTGCTAAGTATTTATTTAAATGGTGTGCAATGTACCTTTCCATTATTTTATCTATTGAAGACAGAATTGATATTGGGCGATAGTTCTGGTATGAATTGTGGCAACCTGATTTATAAACAGGTCTTATAATAGCAGTTTTTAGCAGAGTCGGCATTGTGCCTTCATCAAGTGATGCATTTATTATATTAACCAGCACTTCTAATAATCTATGACCATCTGAAATTGCCCTTCTCCCACATAGCTCAGTGCCTTCTCCCCTTGGCTATAAAATTTGTGAACAAATGTGTCAGTCCAGTCGGAGTCGAGAGTTCATTTCAGTGTTGTCGGTGTCTTTGTCGCTTATCTGATACTATTATTGTTTTGTATCAAGGACTGAGCAGGTTATAAATTTAAAATTAACATGATTTAATTTTTAATTTTACTCAATCACACAATTTTTATTTGGATTCACAGACTTTGCATCAAATTCATCTGGCCTAAGTACCATTTATGGTAGGGCATAGGTAACCTAAACAGTTGTCAATCTCGCAAGTTTAGAAATAGGCCGCCAATGTTTTGTTAGCCTGACTTATAAAGCTACATCTATCTACACAATTATTATTACATTTTGTTATGAAATAAAGCAAAATAATTTCGATAAAAGACTAAAATACCAGTTAATTTGATTTAGGTACACTTTGTATCTGTTGTCAAAAACAACCAAATGAAAAATTATTCGATATATTGATTATTTCATCCTAACTAACCAAACGATGGGTACAGTTTCTTAACTGGGCTACGTTAATATCGATTGAAACTATCGATTCGATTAGTAAACCTTCATGCGATTTTTTCACCATCAGCAAGTTTGGTTGGTTAGGTTAGGTTAGTTTTATTTTATGACAGATATATTTAAAAATATCGATTATTAATCAATATTTTCAACTTGATAGTTTCAATCAATATTAGCGTAGCCCAGTTAAGAAACTGTACCCCGATATATCAAATGAAATAATCGATATATGTCGATTGATATTTTCATTCGGTCGTTTTTGACAACAGATAGGGAAGTCTACCCTTTGATTTTTATAATAGATTTTCTAATACTTACTATAGTTAGTTAATTATTCAATTGGGTTGTACTGAGCTGGGTTTGGTTATATCGTTTACTTTTTGCACAGGTACCGGTACTTACAGTAATAATTATTCACTTACATGTTCATACAACAGAGTTGTGTCATTAGGCCTTACTTAAAATAAGTGAACTCTCCCTCAACATAGATTTTTTGACATTCTGATAAATTTAGTGGTTGTTTTTAGCTACCCTGCTACTTTATTTAAACCAAGAAGAATATACATTCAACTAAGTGTTCACAGTAAACTCTTATTTCTAAAATTAAAGAAATGTCTGTAACTATGTTACTATGTTTCTTAAATCAATGGTGAGTGAGTAAACAAAGGAATGAACTATGGAAATGGTAAAGAACGGGTTCACATATGTTATTCGTTAATAGTCTTCTCTAATTCACAGGGAGATATCTGTAATCGGCAGACTACGATCTTTCTGCCAATGCCTGTCTCTCGATGCTTACTGCATGTTCTATGTAATGTAAACAACGAAAGATGTGTCTGCTTCTGCTAGTGAGTCACCGCGTTCACTTAGTTGTGTATTAGCGTTTGCGTAGTGTAATATTGTAAAATGAATTGCAGTGACATTAGACGTTATCTTGATGATGATGTTAGTGATGAATCTGAAGTGGTAGAAGATGCTGATGATCCCGTAAGTGACTTTGAATTTGACATTCCACCGTATGAATCTGACTCTAAAAGCTCGGCAACAGGCTTCTCAAGTGGTAGTGATAACGGTTACAGACCAACCAAATTCTAGTGAATTAAAACATCTGAGAGGAAAGAATTAAACAGAAATATACAATTAGATGTAGCAGGTAATTCTACACTAACTCCTATTGTTCTTGCTCCTACAGTAGAACCGAGGGTTAAGGTTTATCCCCCAGAGGAACCGACGGACATAAGCCCTGAGTTTAGGGCTAGACAAATTCAACCTGTAAAGACATTTCACCAAGAAATAGTGCCTCTCTAGCCTATTTGCTATTGTTTCTAACTACCTATAATTTTGGCAGCTTATTACTAGAGAAACAAATGCATATGTTGACAGTTTTTTCCAAAAAAATCGTGACACCTTGAGCCCAAACTCGAGATTTAGAAAATGGACAAATGTAACGGTCAAAGAAATGAAAACATTTATAAATGTAAAAAGGAATATAAGACATTATTGTGACTCTAGATAGTCGCAGCTGAATCCTTTCTATGGAAAACACCCGACTTTAAACCGATTCCATTTGATTAGTAGTGATCATTTGGCTTTAAATAAATTACCCTGGCTGATAAAACAGCTGATCTTGGTCAGTAATAAAGCTACACAGATCAATTCACACCATTTACACAGATTATCTCACAACATTCTGTATACATAGAAATCCGGGAATTATGCTTGAGTTTTTTTTAACCGGCAATTATGCGTGAATTTTGTATATCCACCTAGCGATCGCAATGACAACAGTGACGTTTCCGTGACCCCGGTAGACGACAATATGTCTACACACGGGTGCGAGGGATGATCCGAATATTGCCGCGATCACGTAAGACGATGATAATGTCCACACGAACAACAAAAACTGAAACAGCAAGAATTTTGCCGCGATTCCGGAAGACGATGATGATCGCCACACAACTGCGGAATGTAATTAATATTTTGCCGCAATAATTTGATATAATTTTGAAACAATAACTACGATGTCTTCGCAACCGTTAGAGAGGATTACGATATCTACAGGACCGCGGGAGATACAGTAATAATTTCTACACGTCCGTGAGGGATGATCAGAATTATGCCGCGATCGCGCAAGACGATGATAATGTCCACATGACCGTGGAAAAAGATCCAAATTTTGTCTCATTTGCGGAAGACGATGATCTATACAATACATGGCTGAGGGAGTGGGAGATGATTACCATTTTGCCGCAATAGCGGGAGGCAATGACTATGTACAAGTGACCTCAGGGTACGATATAATTATGTCTTCAAGGTCACTAGGGGTGATCAGTATTTTATCTCGATAGCGCAAGACGATCATAATGTCCATGCGACCGCAGGAAAAGATCTGAATTTTGTCTCATTTGCGGAACACGATGATGATCTCCACAAGATGGCAGGAAATGATTATTATTTTGCCGCAATCGCGGGAGGCGATTACTATGTACAAACGACCACGGGGGACGGTTAATGATGTCTTCATGGCCGCGAGGGGTGATCATAATTTTGCCTCATTTGTGGTAGACGATGATAATCTCCTCACAACCGCGGGATATGTTCATATATTGCTGCGATTATGGAAGGTAATAGTTATGTCTACACAACCGTGGAAAATAGTCAGAATTTTGCCTCAAACGCGGGAGACAGTTACGATGTCTACACGGCCGGTAGGAATTATCAGAAGTTAATCGCGATCATGCAAATACAACCATCAAATTTTTTTATTTTCCAATTTTTTGGCGCCCCCCAAAAAAGCCAATTATTGCCTAGGCAAGTGCCTACCATGCCTATTCGGTAAATCGGCCCTGACTTCCAGTTGCCTGTAGGACATAAGTAGGGAAGCAATCAAGATTCTTGACATTCATCTCTCAGGTCTAGTGATGATTGGAGTGTCCAATCAAATTCGATCATCACTTACCACCGTCTTTTTTTTGCTTATTTACTATTATACCCGGAATGAACATATGTTTAAGGTAAAACTCTGCTTATGGCAAATGCACAAATATCCTACTAATATTATAAATGAGAAAGTTTGGATGTATGGATGTATGTTTGTCCTACTAATATTATAAATGAGAAAGTTTGGATGTATGGATGTATGTTTGTGACAAGTGAACGCGAAAAATACTTGTCGGATTGGGCTGAAATTTGGCATGATGATAGCTCACATTCCCGATTAACATATAGGCGTATTCTTATTTCAAAAATCCTTTCGGGCTCCGCCCCAGTGGCTCTGGAGTTTCCCATGTTAACCTTATGAGAAATGGAATTATTGAATCTTAACAGCTTTTTCAATTAAACGAGTTGGTTCTGTTCTATGATGTTGAATAGCATTAAAGTTACAAGGATTACCAACAGGGTGGAGCACTATTATTTCTTTTACATTTATGACAACAGCTAATTTGCAACCAAAAGGTGAGTGAGCGTAGCGAACGAACTTCAACCTGGAGGCGAGTTAGCGTAGCGAACGAGCTAACCTGAAGGCAAGTGAGCGCAGCGAACGAGCTCCAACCTAAAGGTGAGTGAGCTTAGCGAACGAGCTCCAACCTAAAGGTGAGTGAGCGTAGCGAACAAACTTCAACCAGGACGTGATTGAGCCATGCGAACGAGATAATCTTGAAAATTAAGAAGTTAAACGGGGCAAAGCCCGCGGGTTACAGCTAGTTAAATATACTGAGAACATTAGCATAGGTCTTCACGTACCTGGATCATGACTGAGACTGCCTCTTATCGCTTGGCTTCATCCTCTGATGGGTTATAGGGCGGACAGGTACAAAGTTCATTTTAGTCCCTATAGCCCATTATGCTATTGTTCTTAGAATGTCTGTTTCCTGATAATCGTAGGAAACTAAACTAAGGCTCTTCTACCTTTTCCATAATATTACTATTGTTCCTCTGTTGTGGTGATTGTCTTGGACTAACAAGTCTCTGTGATGAAATTGGTCTTGAAATGGTAGGAGAACTATCATGGTCAGAGGTTTTCTCAGGTGTCGTTTGAGGTGTTACGACCTTTTGAGCTTTTTCATATAATTCCCTGGGAAATTGGATCACAATGTCGTCATCGTCATCTTGGCCTGATGGGTTACTCCTCAAGTGGTCTGCATGAACAAACCGAATGCGGCCCTCTACTTTAACTAAGTAGGTTACCGGACTTATAACCTTAGTAATGATACCTGGCTGCCAATTTACTTTCTCGTTACGTACAGTACAAACATACACTGCTGCTCCTACTTCAAAGGAATGAGCTTGGCCTCTGTACTTGTTGGCCTCTTTTACTAGGATTTCTTGTTCATCTTGCATTCGTTGAGGCAATGAGTGTGGCTTCAAGAGGCTAAGATGAGTCCTAGGCTTGAATTTGTATATTGCTTCAGATGGTGATATGCCTGTGGTAGAGTGAGGGGTGTTCCGGTACGGTAAGTAAACAAAAATTAATCAATTCGGTGTTGTAGAGAGCGGGTCGTGTTATGCTTGGTATCATGGAGCATTTGTTTGAGGAAGGCTTCCTTGACAGTTTGCACTGCTCGTTCGGCTAAGCCGTTTGATGCAGGGTGATAGGCCGGTGATAAAATGTGGTGAATACCATTTGATTCAACAAATTCTCGGAATTCAAGCGAAGTAAATTGAGGTCCTCCATCCGTAACCATGGTAGAAGGCAAGCCAAAGGCTGCAAAGCAATGACGTATTTTCTCA